GGCCACTCATACACACCCCACATACACATAAATAAAAATTTAAAAACTTCCACCCCCCCCAAAAAAAATAAGAACCATGGAAAAAGAAGGTCTCTCTCTCTCTCCTCTGTTTCTCTTTCCTCTCCTTCCTGTCTCAACTCCCTTCTCTGTCTTTCACTCTTGCTCTTTCTGTCAATGTGTGTGTGTGTGTGTGTGTGTGTGTGTGTGTGTGTGTGTGTGTGTGCGCGCGCGCGCACGCGCGCGCGCACGCGTGCATATGTTGAATGGGGAAGGTGGTTTTGTGGGAAATCTCTGTACTTTCCATTTAGTTTTGCTGTGAACATAAAACTATTCTTAAAAAACAAATCTGTTAAAAAATATGACTGAGTCATCATCAAAGTAATTTTAGTCTCCTGCAGGTGCAGAAACTGGTGAAGACAGCCAATCCATATCAGCATTCTGCAATAGAGAATCGGGGTAACCTTCAATCATTTCCCCACAGCACAGGGGGAATTTTCTTTCTTCTATTTTTTTAATGGTTGTTGTGGGGAAACATTGAGTCCTTTGAAGACCCAGGGACAGAGTCAGCTAACAGCTGTGCCTCAGTTTCCTGGGGGAGTCTCATGAAGACATGGGAACACTCAGACTTTCTGAATGCTACTGCCTAGAAGCCAGGCACGGTACAGGTCTGGTGTTACAGGCTTCATGCCCTTTCCCCTACTTGGGTGTACACCTGTCCTCACCCATTAATGATATTGTCCTATTTCATTTTGTGCATTTTATGTTCTTCTGCTGGACCTAAATTAGACATTCCGAAAGCACCCTGTCTTCAGTCCTCTCCCCTCCCAGACTTCCTAGATCAGTGGGTTTTTTTCCAAGCCACACACATAAATCATCTAAATTGAAACACTCAGGACACCAACAGCTGGCATCTGAGACCCAATTACTGGGTCAGTGGGCAGTTTTCAGCTCTCCAGTGATTCAGCTGAGCAGCCAACGTTGCAAACTACAGGTCTTGATGAGCCCTTGACATTTCCCCAAACTTCTACACTCTCCTCTGGCTAATCACAAAAGCAAAGTAACATGAATGTATAAAAGGGAATCATAAATATAAATGCATGGAATAATTAAATACAATACCACTTTTAAAACTATGTTGTAGACCATCACAACCCCTATACCGCCATCACCTCAAAGTGAGAAGTTTGGTCTCAGCTCCTACTAGACCCAAAGTAGTTAGGGCCAAGTTTCCTATCCTATATCTCTTCTTCAGGCTCCTTCTTAGGCTTAGATGACCACACAGCCTGTAGATACTTTTCCTTCCCTTCCTTTCTGAAAACCTATTATAATCTCCAATATAAGATGCTGTGTAAATAATCTACCTTTCCCCTGCTGCCCCATACCCAAACCAAGCTAGCTACCCTAGAACCACGCTGCTGAAGCAAATGTGGTATTCAAACAGCATGTACTAGGTAGCAGGTATAAACCTTTAATATATTAAAGTGCTATGTTTTCAGAGAGTGGGACTCCTCCCAAACAGATGTGCTCCAGGGTCCCTTGTCATCCAGCCCCATAAGACTCTCTACCCACCTCTCCAGTCTCACTCCTCCCCATCCTCCTCCCTCCCATGATGGCAGACAGACTGAATCTTTAGTCCTGGGGACACAGCTTCCCCTCTGAATACTCCAGCTCCCTCCCATCCAGAGGACTCTGTGTTTGGTAGATTTCTTTTGGGAAACATTCCCTTGGCTACACATGCCTTTGGTTTCATCTCTAATATCACTCTTTCCTAGGGACTGTCCCGAGAATGGGCTAAAGCTGTTCCCTCTGACACAGAGATTCCCTGCAGCGCTGACACTCAGCAGACAGTTGTAGCAGCCACAACTACAGGGTGTGACTGGTTCCCAGTGGGGAGACTAGATTTTAAGGTCTCTGCTCATCCCTCATGCGAGTTTCCTAGTCCCAAATGTCATGATTGGGAAGCTAAGTGCTATCAGGACATCGGTCCCCTGGAATGAATCAGCAAATTGATGGACCAGAATTGATGTCCTTTTCCATCTATTCCCTCCTGTTCTGCAGCTTCTCAGGAGCTAGATTTCAGAAATGGACCCTAGTCCCAACCCTGAGAAGGATATCTACTGCCTTATTAAATCATAGTTTAAAATTTGACTAAATATACCCATGTCCTATGAGCCTACACATAGTTAGTTGGAGATGCCTGGCCCAAATTAACTGATGATCTTGAAACAAAAAATGGCAAGCCAGTTTTTGGAGTGAAGAAACAACAGTTTTTATTAGTGAAAGTGCACACAGCTGAAATCAGACAACTATTCAATATCCCATCTTCATTACCCTCAAAATTATGCACACAGCATTCAGAGAAGGACTGGTTATGTTGCTTTATAAGATAGGCAAATTTTTCTGAAGTTTAAATGTATAGTCAAGATGGGTATAAAGATGCCACACACTTTTAGTCACAGTTCCTGGGATGCAGAGGCAAAAGGATCTCTGTGAGAGCGAGGCCAGCCTGGTCCATATAGATAGGGATTCCAGCCAAGCTGGGGCTACACAGTAAGACCCTATTCTAAAAGAAAATAAAAAGTATAATTGTTAAGCATTGTAATGAACTATTTCACAACAGGTTATAGGTAACAGAATCAATATTATCTTGAAAGTTCAAGGTTAAACAAAAATTGAATAAAACCAACAAGACATTAATCTGTGGAGATATCAACAAAATTCATCTTGAATCTTTCTATCAATCCTTCAAACTGATGACTTCTTTTCTATAGTATAACAAAAATACAAACACCACAACTATATCAAAGGGAAACATGATTATTTTAGACATGTCAGACAACATACAAAATAGGTTCTTGGTTATAATAATATGAAAATCATTGATTCTGCTCAAACTCAACATTGGCTACTGCTACATCTGCTAGGGTTGGCACATGCATTCTGGAGTATTTTCCACTGCTCAAGGACTTCTCACCAGTCACCTCTCATCAGTGCCCACTGTCCACCAAGGTAAGTGTGGACACGATAACAGCAAACAAACATAGAGTTTTTCCTATTGTTACCACTGATAATTAGCATTGGAGCTCATATATTACCTGTTTTCTACTGAGTCCCACATGCTTTCACCATGTTCTTGAGTTCAAGCAAGATTTGGAAATGCTAGGTTGGATAGTGAGAAAGACCTCCAGACCCCTTCATGTCTATCAGACATCTCTAGGAAGACTGAAGAGCAGAGCAGACATCACAGTCTCAGAGCCCTGCAGTCACCAGGCAGGAATCAGGAAGGAGGCAGGAGAGTGTAGGGGTGGATGGCCCCATCTAGTGGCCTCATCCCTCTAGAACCCAGGCTGATCTTAACAAATCTTTCTAGAAAAGCTACAAATCCAGGCTATCATTTCAAAAGGTCTGTTTTGATGTGTGATTGCCTCAAATTAAAAAAGAAAAGAAAATTAAGAAATTTCAAAGCAACACCGTATACCAAAGAAACCCTGCTTCAAAAAACCAAGAAGGAAAAAGAAAAAAGAAGAAGAAGGAGGAGGAGGAGGAGGAGGAGGAGGAGGAAGAAGAAGAAGAAGAAGAAGA